CCGCATGGCGGAACCCCCACCGAGAGCCCGCCGCTTTCCCGTGGGGCAGGGGCGGCCTCGCCCTGCCGGGACTGCGCTTTGTCCTGGCGCGGAGCCGCCGCTTCCGCCACAGGCACGTGTCCGTTGCTAGCGGCGAAGAACCGGCTCTCGACTCAGCCTGGGGATGCGCCTCGGCTTTTTCAAACAATAAACCTCAGATCATCGCAGCGCTCGGTGGTTTCTAGCTGTTTAAAGAACAAAACATTGTAAAAGTCTGGGCTTGTCGTGGCTGAAGAAGTGGGAGGTGGTCCTTTGGTGGTCTGAGAGCCTCCAGCTCCTGGCCCTCTCCTGCCTCTCTCACCTAGGGGCTGCAGAGGTGGAGGAGGGTCCTGCAGCCAGTGGCTCTCGGAACCCCCGGTAGCAATATAAGTACGTGGGGGATCCAAGTGTGCCAGACAGCCTTTTGCCTTAAGAACCCACCACGGTAAAGGCCAGGGAACTGCAAATGATCTGTTGTGTCCCCTTCTGCCCTGCAGTCCTTCTCTTTCCATGCAGGTTTGTTTCCAGAGCACACAGACGATGGTGTGGAAAGGAGCAGCTTAACCTCCCACAATGCCCTTTTCTGACTTCATCTTAGGACTGAAGGACAACCAGTACTTTGGGGCTGGGTTTGGCCTCGTTGGGGTGGGCACAGCCCTGGCGTTAGCCCGGAAAGGGGCCCAGTTTGGGCTGGTGGCTTTTAGGCGCCATTATATGATCACCTTGGAGGTGCCCAGCAAGGATAAGAGCTACAGCTGGCTGCTGAACTGGATCTCCCACCACGCTAAGCACACACAGCACCTCAGCGTTGAGACATCGTACCTGCAGCACGAAAGCGGGCGTGTCAGCACCAAGTTCGACTTTGTCCCCAGCCCTGGGAACCACTTCATCTGGTAAGGGAGAGCAGCGGGAAGCGGTCTGGGGGTTGACCATCATTTTGGGAAGGAAACTCCAACCTGGGGGGGCCCTGGAGGTAGCGAAGAGGATCCTGCCTCCTCCTTCCACCTGGGTTAGAGCTGGAGATGGAGAACAGCGAGAGGAGTCTGTATTCACCGGTGAGAGACCACTCCTTTACCCAAGATGAGCGTTCTCCTCGGTGCGCGTGCCAGGCCGGGTGGAGGTGAGCGGTGCTAGACCCCCATCCCCCACACCCCGCTTCCTGCCGCAGGTATCGCAGGAAGTGGATTCGCATCGAGCGGAACCGGGAGCAGATGATCGACCTGCACACGGGGACCCCCTGGGAGTCCGTCACCTTCACTGCGCTGGGCACCGACCGGGAGATCTTCTTCAACATCCTCCAGGAAGGTCTGTAGGGGAGCTGCGTGGGGTCCTGCTGGGAATGAGCCCGCTCCCCAGCGACACTCAGGGCTCCCAGGAGACCCTCTTCCCCACCAGCATCCCCCGCGCCTCTCTCTGCAGCCCGGGAGCTGGCGCTGCGGCAGCAGGAGGGAGGCACCATCATGTACACGGCCATGGGGGCGGAGTGGCGGAAGTTCGGGTTCCCCCGCCGCCGCCGGCCTCTCGGGTCCGCGGTGCTTGAGGGACGCG